GTACAACTCCACTCGGAAAATTATAGTATAGTATGAAACAAACTAAATACTTTAGTAAAGCTGATAAGCAGTGACTAGAACTACTTATCAAACAAAAATGTCTTAAAACTGCTGTGTCCCATTACTGTAAATTGATAATGCTAAAAAATCTCGTTAAGTAGTGATGATAACACTAAAAGCATAATATTATCTCTTCTACATACCAGCTTTATTTGTAAACACGACCAAATGTATCAAATGATCCAGGTTGTAAGTATAAATTACAAAATTGTTGAAGTTGCACTGTGTATACTTATTTTACAAAAACGCTATCGTGAACTTTCAACAGCCACTTTTCGACTGTTTGGGATATCTCCAGTTGAAAAGAAGTATTCCATACTGCTATAATACCAAATTATTTATTTCTTTACATTCCACAGTCCAGTTGCCATCATAATATCTCCTAGTTATCAAAAATTAAACAAGCTCATATCCAGGGATAATACCAGGTCTTTGTTTTTTCCCGTGAATTGAAAAGTTTGGTGGTTTACTTACTCCCTTGTTTTTCTCTCCCGAGTTAACTATGCACCAAGCAATGCATTTTTCTTCCCACAAAACCTCTTTCAGAAAAAAATATAGGTTACAAAGTTGATCAAATGTTTCAAAAGATTTCTCCGAAATATCACAAGCACCATGGTTAAAAGAGCCGAACAAAACATCTATCTTATATTTTAATTTTTCGCATTCAGCAACAATACCAGGACTTAATGACTTGTCATATTTGATAGCCTTGATACCTGGAAAACAGAGCCTTCTAAGGTCATCGTGTACAGTATCATAATTTGAAACTTTTTTCATCAGCCAGTTCATCTCGCCTATGAGCTCATTAGGGAGATCACTGTCGTTTTCCAATCTGTTCTTGGACCCTCTCAAACAACAAAGCTCATTTCGTATTCCTTTTATTTTATTCCCATGTTTTCCATTTAATGCACATTTCGGACAGGGTCTCATCACTTGAAGTCTGTGGTTGTAGTCCCCTGATGATAGTAACTTTATACCGTTTATTTCCATTGATTTGCCAGGAGAAACATGACAGAACTGATAAATTCTGTCAACATTAAAATTGTATCCAATATGTTTAAAACGAGGGTTTATATTAGCTGACAGCGGTTTTCCTTTCTTATCAGGGTTAGCAATCGTGAAATATATACCAAACACAAAGCCAGATAACAGATATAACGGCACTGACATAAAACCCAAGTGTTTCAGCTGAATGTCTGACACCAAACCACTAAGACTTGCTATTGTAACAACACAGATAACTTCCAGCATATGAAACATGTAAATACTAAAAAAGTACAGTGGTGATCTCAAATGATGGGTGTTGGGACGATCTCCATGCAGTAGATCAATAGGATGTCTAAGATTTACTATAAACCCTTCGCTCCACGATAGGCACAATACCAGCACAAATCGTCCAATCTTTATTAAGGTTGAATTTTGGATACCATTTTCCTTTCGCAAGAAGTGTAGAATTACAAAATACTTTTTAACTGAGGATTGAACACCATATGGGGACCATTTCTTGTGGTAAGATGTGAAATGTATTCCAATTGTTATTATCACATGTATCGCTATACAAGCACCAAAAATCCAAGTTTTGTTTATTTTCACTGTTATGATGTACAGTAGGAGACACATCATTATACGAGATGACACCGCAGTGAAATTTCCGAGGAAAATAAGAAATTGCTGCAATCTCTGGAGTACACAGCATTTTCCATCTGCTGCGCGGCACAAATTCTCAAAACTAGACAGTTTGAGAGTTAAAATGATAATCCCGTACACAGTCGAAATCATTGTCAGATAAATATCTGGATCAAAAATTCCCTTCTCCAGCTTCTTGTAAAGGATTATGACTTTGATAAGGGTACACGGTATGTTTTCCACAATTTTTTCCTGAACAGTCAATCTGGCAAAATGAAACCTCTTATCTATCAGTTCATATAATCTCTGACGTCTGTGTAGCACCAACTCGAGTGCGCTCACTATAGGATGCAGTTGAAATACAGTTAATATATTGAAGACTGTGTGTTTCACAGAGTCAAATCTCCACGGAGTAAAGTACTTCAGAAAACTTCCTCTATAACTTCCTTCAAGAGAAACAGTTGGATCTGCATCAATTTGTCGAAAAGAAGATCTGTAAAACCGTAATATTGACTGATTATTAATATAGAATAAAGGAATCAATGAGAATATAAGGATCGCATATCCCTCATACCGTATGTGTAAATCTGCATTTTTGTCTACAATAGCATTATAACCGACCTTTATATCTAACACTACATCCAAGGCATATAATAAGACGAATTTCAGAATACTGAAGACTACAAAATTGCCGATCATTCGACATTTGTGGGGCGTCTCCTTACAACACAGGTATTTGTTAACAATATCTGCCGAACATCTTGTTAACTGTCTGTTATCTCCTAGCACTGCCTGTTCTCTTAAAAAATCACTGTGTTTTACAAGAAGCTTGCTGACTCGTGTAGGACTGTTACACGCAAGCTGTAGAATAATCCTCCGTAATATGTGAACTTTGTAATTAAAACACATTAAATTGGATTTAATCAACGTAAAACAAGAATCTACCAGCTGCTCAGAAGTGAACTGCATGTGAAGTGCCATCGTGTTGGTTAACATGTCAGCTATACACTTAACAGTTATTTGCAGAACTGTTGTACTCTTGCTAGAGTTAAGTAATTTTGTTAATATCTCTGGAATCGTTACTCCGTGTTCACTTTTGACCCCAGCTATCTCGTTTATGATATGAACACGTTCAACTGACATACACCAAACTATTCCAATTAAATTCGTCAGAACCTTCTCCTCATTTCTCTTGCTCCACTTCTCTATCAGTGCCGGTATTAACAAGATCACTCCTTGCTTAGCAAGGTAATCCTGACTAGTCGTGTAACGAATATTTATCATCTGCAAGGTGTAGCAGATATTGTTCATCACCTCTGCATCATTGCACTGTTCCCATTTGTATATCAGTTGCTTAGCAATACCTTTTCTTATCAGCAATCTTATCACTTTATTTCCCCCTAGTTCCACCCCTCTTCTGATGATGTAAGTTAGATCTCTCAAATACTGGAATTCTTTTGTGTTATCATCGCCAGAGATGTTCTCCCCTGCAAGTTTACTGACTGGTTCCCCCTGTATTTCTGGTTTTTTTTCAGCAGTTATTGCTAAGATATTGATTCTCAACTTGGTTGTGCCCTGTAGAGTTAGCAATTTTAGAGTTTCTAACAATTCAGCAGTCTTTAACAATCTGAGATGTTTATGAAGGAGCACTGCTGCAGTTACAATTACACAGATACTGCGTTCTGTGCTGGATACCATATCTGTCAACAAGTGTGAATTGCTTCTTAGGACATCTACTAATCTTTCAGGGCGATCATCTGATGCAACATTATCTCTCACTGAACTCTCATGTAGACAAACCCTAGTTACCATGTAGAGTAATAGCTCAACTATATGATCATTACAGTTACACTTGTGCAGTAGTCCCATAATAAGGTTGGTGTACAGTCCCTCTTTTCTCAGATGAGGTAGATGTAAGAAGTTATCTCTAAACAACACGTGACTAACAATCATCACAACATCGACTATAAGATCGGTATCAGTTGCCTCCCCACATCTGTCAATAATTAATTTTGTAACGCCACTTTCACAGAGACATCGTATATTTTGTTTAGTTCCGTTTAAGCTGATAATTCTTACCAAGAAAACTATGTTTCGTAAAAACGACAGTTCCTTATTGTTATTGCAGAGATCTGCTAATCTTTCGTAAAACTCAGTTTCAGATATCTTCTGTAAAACTGCAAGAGCCCAGCCATCTTTTTTAGCTTGCGGCAAAATGCGTAATTTAGCTGCTATTAAAGATATTTCTTCTCCAGTCAACAACGTGCACTCAGTAGTAAAACATTTACTAACCTCTTCAAAACTTTCCATCGCGTGCAGATTAGTATCGTACACTGGACACTGAAATTAAATTAAGTTATTGGCAACATCATATTCATAAACTACAAATTTGGTCATACATCCGGATCCTGATGGCACTGTCGTGGCACTCTCGTGGCACCCTCAAGGCACTGTCACAGCATCCTCGAGGCACTATGGCGGCACCCTGGCGGCCCCCTGGTAGTATAGTGCGAACTTTCAATCATGTTCGTTCAAAAGCATACGACAATCATTATACCTTCATTATTATCTTTTCACAATAACCACGGTGTCATAAAAGCTCTATCCTTTATTTACTAGCCTTGTAAAAGCCTTGTGATTTACAATCCTCATCTGGTGACGTGTCACATGCTAATTCATGTGCCACGAGAGTGCCGTGAGGGTGCCGCGAGAGTGCCGTGAAATGCCAAAAATGAGCTCTGAACAATAGTTAGTAGTTACGTCGTAAATATTTGCCATTACCATCCAATAAAATTAACGTCTGGAACTAAAATGTGAACAAGAAGGAGCACTTACAATTTACATGTTGTTGCGTTCCCGCTCCGAGCACAAAAATATACATAGAGCTTAGAGACGAATTAACGATACTACAGGGGCTCTTCTGACAAAACAAAGCATTCACAACAGTTGTGCGACAAACAAGAACTGCATTACATTATAAAGCTTATTTTGAGTAGGTACAAATCCGCTATGTAGGTAACATAAGATTGACATCAGGCCTAGAATACGAGAAAGGGAATCATATTTCAGCACCAGGAAGTGTGATTTTCTGGAAACTTCGCTACTGCAAGAGTAGTGTTTACCGACCTTTTCCTACATATCGACTGAGTGGACTGAGGAACTGCCCTCAGCTTATCTTTAACGAAGTCCTCCTTGGAGGACTTAGGTATTATTCTATTATATATTTTGTGTTGACAACTAATGACCCAATATCAAATACAATATGCTCGTTGTCCAATTCTGCTGAGCCATATTATTTTAATTAGCTCATATGACTGGTAATGGTAGTTGAGAGCCCCAACAAGATCCACAAGGCTGTCAGATTGTTCCACGATCTAATTGAACGGGGCGATGTGATCGAGTGCGAGAAACTCCACAAAAAGCACAATCTAGACGTTAATGTACCATTGGTGAGTTAGAATATTCAGATTTTTTTGGCTAGATCTTTTCAAGAAATAAAATATCAAGTGATAATTAGCCATCTAAAATCTCGCCGTAATTATGTTTAAATATGTTTCAAGAATCTTTTTGTTTTTTCACGTCTTACTACAATTTGTTTTCTTCAGGGAAAGGAGAAATTTACGGCTTTACACAAAGCCTGCTATTACGGGCATTTGGAGTGTGTCCATTGGTTGGTGTGGCATACAGCTGATATGAATGTGCGCTCTATACAAGGCTGGACTCCTGCCCACATTGCTGCACTCCGGGGCAAGGAGCAATGTGTCGAGGTAGAGCAACTTTCTTTCAGTATTCTGGAGAGTTTATCTTGCTAAATACTTCTCTTATTTTCAAATAATCAGTTAAATAACAGCTCCAACTGTTGTTCAGGCTCTGATGTGCCACAAGGTAGACCTGACAACACAAGACGAAAGTGGACAGTGTCCCATTCATTTGGCAGCAGCACACGGCAACACGTTCACTCTACAAACAATCTGTAGAAAAGGAGGAGACCTTCATCTCAGAGATATCAATGGGTGGAGGGCAGTTCACCATGCTTCTCACAATGGAAAACTAGGTTACCTTCTGGATAATTTAACTAGTGCTACGACTCATTAACCTCAGTTTTATGGTCGATAGCACTTTTTCAAAATGTATCCTTGTAAGCCTTACGCAAGCTATCTATTCATCCTTTAGACTTCCAAATGGGACCTTATGAATATTTTATAAAGATCTACATATATTTGACTCTCCATTAAACTAGGATTATTAATGAGCTGACAGACTTTGTCCATTAACAGCTCTCACAAAATGTCAGGATGCGTACAGACAATAGTAAAATGGGGAGGAGATCTGGACACAGTAACCCTGGTGACTGGAGACACGCCCCTCCACCTTGCTGCGGCACGTGGACACCTCTCTGTTGTTAAATACATTATCTCCAGTATAGAGGATTGGGTCGAGATACTAGCTGCTATCAATAATGATGCTGAAACTCCGTTAGAGAAATCTGTACTGAACATGCAACATGATGTTGTGGACTATCTGTCAAACTTACAAGTGAGCCTGTTTTCTGTAGATAGTAGTGTTTTAGTTTAGCTTATTCATAACATGGTGACTAAGTGTTTGTGATTTAAATAATTTAATAAAATTGATGAACTAAAATGTATTTTATCAATGTATAAATCTATTGAGGTAATTTGTGTAACAGAAACTCATTTTAGTAGTGATATATTAGATGCCGAAATTTATATTGAAGGATTTAGTATGTTTAGAAAATATAGAGATTTTAGAATTGACAATTCCACTGGCAGTATAAGTGGTGGAGGAGGCTCTATAATTTATGTTAAAAACTGTTGTAATGCTTCACTAGTGAACTCTTTTTTAAAGGCACCGGATTCTTTAGCTGTTAATATCAACACATCAGGTGGACTGATTAGTATTTGTTGTATTTACAGATCCACTTCATTGAATTTAGAACAGAATAATGCATTAATATCTTGTATCAAGAGCATCTGTAGTGAAAGGAATGATTTTGAAACACTCCTTTTAGGAGATTTTAATTTACCAAATGTTTTATGGGAAACTGGTAGCATAAATAGTAATATTGCTAGCAAGAACCAGTTTTTAGTTACTCAACAGAAATTCATGGATGTTTTCAATGACAGTGGTTTAACTTGGTATTTCACCAACGAGACAACTAGAAGACGGCTTGTGAAGGATACTCTCCAGGAGAGTCTTCTTGATCAGGTCCTGTATACAAATGATGCTCTTGTCAACGGTTGTAAGATCGTTTCTCCGCTTGGTAAGAGTGATCATGTTGGGATACTTGTCGAACTAGTTGTTTCGCCGGATACTAGCAAATGTTTAAAAGAGAAGATTATCAAACCTATATGGGGTAAGATTTCCTCTGAAGAGTTATTAAATTTTAGTTTGAAAAATATCGACTGGGATTATAGTTCTACCAATGATGTTCAAGATAAGTGGGCTGAATTACATGGTAAACTGGAGACTGTTGCTGCAGCTGTTCCGACTGCTTCGGTTTATCTCGACAACAGACCTGTCAAGTTGCCATGGAGTACATCTGCACTTAAACGAATGAGAAAGAATAAAGATAAAGCATGGGCTGAGTTTGATATTAATCCATCTGATGTTAATTTTAGTTATGCAAGTAGCAAACAACATACTTATGAAGTAGCAGAAATTAAAGCTAAAGTTAACTATGAAAAGAAAATTACATCTAATCTAAAGCAGAATTGTAAGTCTTTTTACTCTTATTTACGAAATAAACGTCAAATTAAATCAAGTGTGGTTTCTTTAGATAGAGGAGATGGTACACGCACAGATAGTTCAACTGAGTCAGCTGAGGTACTCGCAAGTGCCTTTAGCTCTGTTTTTGCGCGTGAACCACCTGGCCCTCTCCCTAAAACTGAGAATTTAAGACCTGACAATGAGAGTATTGATGATATTGATGATATGGAAGTCAGCAGTTCTGATATAAAAAAGCAACTTTTAAAGCTTAACATTTTTAAGAGTTCTGGTCCGGATGGTGTTCATCCGAAGTTGTTGAAATCGCTAGCTTATGACAACAATTTTGTTGAAGCATTAACTAAATTATTTCAAAAGTGTTCAGATACAGGATCTTTACCTGCAGTGTGGAAATCTGCATCTGTTGTAGCATTGTTTAAAAAGGGTATTAAATCGGACCCCTTAAATTATAGACCAGTTTCATTAACGTGTATTTTGTGCAAAGTGTATGAAAAGTTGGTGAGAGCACATGTATTAAATTTTCTAGAACATCGAATTTCGAAGCATCAGCATGGATTTGTTAAGGGTAAATCGTGTTTATCTAATCTTTTAGAGACATTTGATGACATTCTTGACATTTTAGATGAAGGTGCCCCGGTTGATCTTCTATACTTTGATTTTAGTAAGGCATTTGACACAGTCCCCCACTTTAGACTTCTGTCTAAATTGGAAGGCTTTGGTGTCAAAGGAAAGGTTTTAGATGTTATTAAAGATTTTCTGACAGACAGGACTATGAGGGTTTCTGTAGAAGGACAATGGTCCGAGGTTAAACATGTTTTATCTGGTGTTCCTCAGGGGTCAGTTCTAGGCCCTCTCCTATTCATTCTGTATATTAATGATTTGCCTGACCTTGTAAAAAATAAGATAAAGTTATTTGCTGATGATCTTAAATTAATTGGTAATGCAGCTAACCACGGTAGTGTTGCTGAAGATATCGAAGAATTAGAAGTTTGGGAAAGTATTTGGCTTTTACAATTTAATCCTGCCAAGTGCAAAGTAGTGCACATTAATTTTAACAACAATCCTAATTTAAATTATAAGGTAAATGGTATAGAACTTGAAGTATCTGCACAGGAAAAGATTTGGGGGTTATTACCCATAGCTCCCTGCTTTGGAACGAACAGATCAAAGCATGTATCGCTAAGGCAAATCGTATGATTTGTTGGATTGTAAGGAATTTAGTTATTAGAGAAAAGGTTGTTATGATTGCTATATATAAAGCTTTAATAAGACCTCATCTTGAGTATTGTGTCCAATTGTGGAATCCACCTGCGGCTCATGGAAGTTGGGGGACTGTTTTGGAGCTGGAGAGCGTCCAGAGGCGGTTTACCCGTCTGATTGATGAGGTGGGTACTCTTCCTTACAGCCGTAGACTGGAAATCCTCAATTTGACAACGCTGGCAGAGCGGCGAATACGTGGGGACCTTATTGAAGCTTTTAAGGTTATTAATGCTATGACTGATTATGGTTCAGACTTGTTCAGACCAAGCAGATCAGGTCTTAATCTGGTTTCATCCAATAGATGTAGTAAAAGTGTGACAAAGGTCAAGAATATCCAGAAGTCTTTTCTCCCGGAGCGAGTTATTCCATATTGGAACAAACTCCCTCCGGACGTCAAGAACTCTGTGACAGTTTTAGGTTTTAAAATTAAATTAGAAGGATATAAGATAGATATGATTTCTAAAAGTATTACAAATGATTGCTTTTTTTGGAATGTTTCTAATGAAGTTTTAGTAAGAATTGAGGGAGCCAGTTATGTCAGTAATAAAGAGAAACATAACAATTATCTTTGGTTCCATCCTTATGTGGCAAAGAAGCGTTTTATAAATCTTTATTCCACTGGGAAGTTTTTAAAATAGGATAATGTTTTTGATGAAATTGTTTTTAAATATTGTATTTAATAATTAATTAATGTTGGTGGGGAAATATTTATTATATATTTTTTCACACAGTGCGATGATAGTTTGTAGACATGTGTGATGATGTGATGTCATAAATTTTACTTTACTTTACTTTATTATTACCAACACAGTTTGCTTCACAGCTAAAAACTCGTCCTATTTCAGATAAATGAACTGAATGAAGTTGATGAGGGGTTTCCACTACACACTGCGGGGGCGCAAGGGGACATTCCCGCTCTAAAACGAATGATAGGTACTGTTTTTAATGTTATCAGTTATCACTTATCAGTCGTTAAATCTGTTTTTGCAAGTTGGTTAAAGTTTAAAAGGTGAGTTGTTGCCTATCCTTGAAAACCTCCCCTGATAAAACTTAAAATAAAGAATGAAATGCAATCCAGGAAGCGGTTTGTATTCTGTTAACGCACGAGATGATCATCAATCAACTCCAGCTCACAAGGCTGCTGGACATGGACAAGTAGAAACTCTAAGTTGGCTTATAGACAACGAGGCTGATAGTAAGTATAGTGTAGTGCAGTGGCGTAACGTTGCCTGTTGGCGCCCCCCTGCCGAAAAAAGCGCCCCCCCCCCTGTTGGCGCCCCCTCCCCTTTTGGTGCCCCTCCCTAAAATTGAACAAATTAGGTGATTTTAAAGAATACTCCGGTAAAATCTCTAAAAAAGTGTGTATTTAGAGCAAAACGCGCAGTTTTGCTAGTACTTTAGTTAAGTTTTCGAAATTGTCCCACATTCAAACGACGATTTGGCGCCCCCCTAAGACGGCGCCCCCCTGCACAGCGGGGTCAGCAGGGCCTTTCGTTACGCCGCTGGTGTAGTGAGCAAGGTATTCTTTTCCTGTAATATGCAAGGGGCTGGTTTTTTTAATGAACCCATTTCAAATTGTATTACCTTAATTTGTATTATACCATTTAACTTGTATACATTATACAAGACACAAGTATATGTATATGTCAACTTTCAGTTGAGTTGGTAAACGCATCTGGAGAGAATGTGAAGGATGTAGCTAAGAGGTTTGGTAAAGTTCAGTGTGTGGAGATGTTAGGAGGTTACACCGAGGACGAGGAGGATGATACTTCTCCGGAAGGTGAAACGCAACAAAATAATTTGTTATAATTTCTTTAGATAAGAGATTGTTTAGCGCTTTTCATGATTTGTTCAGATCTTGACTCTTCGATTTTCTTTAATCAAAACTTGACCTGACTAACATGTAGAGTTATTAGTGAGGGCTCTCAACAAAGTGGATGTTCTGGAAGAGGAGCTGAAAGAAGCAAAGATAGCAGTTCATCATATGGGTGGTACTATACCAGCTGACACTCTGCCGGAACGAAATGCCGTTCTGTCTGAGGCACAGGTACACAAGCGCGCAATAAGAATATATGGAGCGCGCGAACAAATTAAATGTATGCAAATAGTATTCATCAGTAACGAGTGTAATATATTATATTTCGATCTTATAAATAAAATATCGATCGGCGATCATCGATCAATTATCTATTACATAACATGTGAACATTGGAAATGTTAATATTGCAGTTAAATATTTTCACTCTGTTCTGTAAGCGCTAAATAGCACTAGCCACTTATCACGAGTGTGATAAGCTGAAACACCGATCGAATTCAGGAATTACGAGAAATGTTAGAATATGAGCGTATCAAGCGAGAGAAGATGGAAGCAACAATAGTAGAGCTCAGGAACCAGGTACTGTTTTCGTCACAACACCATGTAAACAAGAGCCGCGCAGAACTCTTTTATTTGACCTTTCAATTTTCATACTTCTTACATTTACATGCTGTTCAATTTAAACAGAATAGGCGTATTTTATACGTTGATCAATCTAAAAGCACTTTTCAGCTGGGTGAATTATATCACAAAGAAAACACGCCTGCAGTTGCTAAGTCTACTCCAGAAGACAGCAAAGATAACGACTCTGACAGCAGTACCTACAGTACCTCATCTTCTACTATCTCTAAAAAGAAAAACAGTAAGCCGAAAAAGAAACGAAATATTAAAACTCCAATAACTAGAGGTGTTTTTATTAGTACTGCAAAAAGTAGCAGCGTTGATTCACGATGTCAATCCTTCGCAGCTCGGTGAGGCACAGTGGTGCATCTCGCCGATCTACCGAAGGATTGATGCATAACAACAAGACACGCGCTAAAGACGCGCATTTTCTGAGTGATGTTAACGATAGCTTTAAATTCACTGATGTCATTATTATTCAGCGTGACCGGTAATAGTTTAAAAATCAGAAGGAGAAAACACATGTTTAAATTACTAAAAAAGGAGTATCACTTTACAGGATTGAATTTAAATATAGTCATAATAGATAAGAGAGGAATTTGTTTCAATCAAACTAGATGAATTGTTGTAAATGCTTAGATCAAACTATCAATCTACAGGCTATCGTCAAACATGTTGCAATGCGTCATCTTCAGTGACATAATAGATAAGAGTTTATTAACTATCATGCCAACTTTAGAGACGGTAACCACATTAAACTAAAGTTTTCCCAATCAATATAAAGGGTTTATACAAAATAAAAGGTTTATGCACTAGACTGCGAGACAATTAACCTTATGCAATGCAGGTTAGTATAACTATAATATCGGACTGAGTTGAAATTTCTGAGAGCATGATACCCCAAAATAAATATATGCCTGTGTCTGGCAATAGCGTTCAGATGGCTTCCGAACTTGTGCGGATAAGATAATATAAAAAATACAAATAAACTATAATAACAATCTGAAAATTAATGTATCAGTACAGATCTTATACTCGAAATCAGGCACTTTCAAAACATTTCTCTTAAATTATCTTTCTTAACACCGTTCAATTGTAACTTTAAATTAAAATATTATGATGATCCGGACGATGATAAATATTAAATTACAACTGATTATATTTATGGATTTCGGCCTGTCGATGCTGGAAGCTGATCAGCTAATCGTTAATCGTTACCATGTGACAAGAATAGTATGATGAACCTCCCAATCAGTATCTATGTATCAAAAGAAAATATTGATCTAATTCAACTCGTCGGGAGCCCTTTTGAAACATCTCGAAGTTAGAGTGCAGAGTGCATGATTACTGATTATCAGCACGATTGGGTGAAACAAAGACGAAACCGTGTGTTGATTAGAATTAAAAGAGGAAGATATTTAGTGATAAATTGTGCACTCTTGCATTTAAGTTTTAATTGTTAGACTTGTTCGATGTAGGGCCTTTAATTTAACCTAATACTAATGGAGTTACTTAATACTTGGTAAGTCTAGGGAAAACAGGTGCTAGTTGTCGGAAATGAAATGGAGTCTGTTCCTGATCGAAGTTACATGATGCTGATAGATTTGATGCAGCTCAGCACTCAGCAGCCACTGTCTTCAAATAGAGTGTTCCAGTTCTGCAATCTGCAGTCTCAAATGTTTTCGCCCAGCTTTTCTTTTCATCGTGGTTATAGAAGACAGACCTGAAGAAATACTAGTATAATGATAATATAGGTAACATGTCCAGAATGAGTAAAATTGTATTATCGGCAAATTTACTTATGTGAAAACTCCCAACAGGGTGGCGCTGGCCCAGAAGTAACTGCACACAAGCAACCCTTTAATGATCACGCACGTAATTTGTGTGAAAATATGTAACTCATTTAACGAAGTCAGTGAAAAGAACCTACCTTTATTTACCAATGTCGATTTTTTGCTTGTGATGAAGTAGTCCTCGCAAATGTGAGATATGTATGTAGTTTGTTTTTAAAAGTAGGATTGTAGTCATAGTCGATGTATAGCGACGGTAGTTTACCAGCAGCTCCCTGTACAAATAGAAATGTGGTTTTTATATAATATTACTAGTTAAATTAATGAGTACAATGCAGGAATAAAAAAATGTGTCTTAAATGTTTTATATTAAATGTGTTATAATTATAATATTAACCACCTTATATTCGTATAATATGTACTCACAAACAATGATAGTCCCAACTGTTTTTAATTGCTTATAATTTAAACCTTCTTATTAAATAATTTAGATGACTGTGTCTGATCTAAAATTGCACGAGAAATAGAGAAAATTAGGTCTCAGACAGAACTCGACCGGGATATAACCGGCGCAGCCGGAATACCGGCTGGTATTTGGCGATTTTGTACCAGTACCGGCCGGGATTTTGGTTTTAGCCGGGATTTTTCCAAAATAAATTCAGTTTTTCTCAACGTTAATTTGAGTCCAAAATTAACAAATCTGTGAACATTTTCCTAAAACATTTTGACGAAGTCATTGAACAATGGAGACTGGAGTCAATCTATATTTAACATAATCATGGGTGTACGAATTATGGACTTCTTTCTGACTTATGACTTAATTATTGTGACTAAGTGTCACGGCTCACGGTCTTGTGTTACCGAGGGACAAGTAAAACAGAGTTCTCCGGGTAAAGAAAGCATTAATAAATGCTATTCAGTATTCATCCTATTCAATTATTCAGGTAAGGTGATGTAAACTGTAAAGTGATAAGCTCCAACGTCAAACACCATGTTCAATTAAATAAGTTTAAGTAACCAATACCAGATCACAGGATTGTTATAGTTACGGAGACTGTTGGAAACGATGCAAACCAGGATCGGACTCCTATCAGAAATAGTCGACCACCGGTCCAGCCTCCCTCAAACTCAAATGCCCTACCACTACCCCAGACCACATCCACCTCTTCAGCCAGGAACAGCGCTCCCACTATACCACTACCAGCAGTTCCTACCGCCTCAGAGGATACACTGCACGTGCCCGTTATTCCTCATGCCTCGTCTTAAATGTCCAGTCCATGAATCCTAGTGCATCAAGTGCGAGTATATGGGAAGTGCCAAAAATCTCAGCTCTTATTCAGGAGAAATCCAAAAACCACTCGTTACCGTTTATTGCACTTACGGAAACGTGGCTCAAGTCCTACATGTCAGACAAATACAAAATGTGCATCACCTCTTTCTCCTGCTGAGCAGAACCTCCCCCTTAAAAGTAAACAAATCTGCATCGCCTCCCAACGACAATCCAGATATATTAAGCAGCAGAGACAATCATTTAAGGAGACTTCGATATCTATCAGGATCATGATTATACTGCCTGAGAACTCAGCACTTCAGGATGAAACATATAATATTTGGTTTTCTCGATTTCATTCATATTTAGACAGAAGTCCGTGTAGATAATTGGTTATAGAATAATTGGATATAATTTTATGCGAAGTTGTGTCTGCGAAAATATACGTGTGAACTGGTCATCCCGCAAATGCTGAAAAAGTAGATGTTACCTATCATAAAATAACCGCTCGCACCGTACAGTGTACACGACAGAGTTGTGACTGCGTTTACAAATTCTTTATCATATTGATGTGTTGCCATGGCAACCGAAACTCCATCGGAAGATCGGCCTGTAAGGCATAATCATGATAATACACAGTATCAAAACATTGCCATTGATATCATAGCAACATTCCAGAGATTAGATTATGTGTGTGTAAGAAAATGTATGTTATAGTATTATACAGTCTGCTAGAACATTCCGTTTACACATGGTGGCCGATAACAACTTGTTTAATTTATCTCCGAATTACACACAAATTTCTGAAAGTTTCGCAGACTTAAATCAATTACAGAGGGTGTGGCTATTGGCCAGCCCCTCTATTTCACTATTATGGTTGAAACTATAAGAATACAGATTATATTGTTACAGTGATTTTACAAAAGTCGAAACAGTAAACACCAATTTGTAGGATACTTTAAATCACACCAAAATTGGTCCCAGAATGCAATGAAATCTGATGGCGTCTTTTCAGTGAAAAAGAGGCCACACTCTCTGTAATTGATTAAAGTTTACGAGACCTTTAGAAAATGAGTTATATAACTTGCAACTTAAACTAAGATAAATTGAGTATTTATACTCAATTTATCTTAGTTGCATGAGTAATATATATATACTACCCACTATACCACTACCAGCAGTTCCTACCGCCTCAGAGGATACACTGCACGTGCCCGTTATTCCTCATGCCTCGTCTTAAATGTCCAGTCCATGAATCCTGTGCATCAAGTGCGAGTATATGGGAAGTGCCAAAAATCTCAGCTCTTATTCAGGAGAAATCCAAAAACCACTCGTTACCGTTTATTGCACTTACGGAAACGTGGCTCAAGTCCTACATGTCAGACAAATACAAAATGTGCATCACCTCTTTCTCCTGCTGAGCAGAACCTCCCCCTTAAAAGTAAACAAATCTGCATCGCCTCCCAACGACAATCCAGATATATTAAGCAGCAGAGACAATCATTTAAGGAGACTTCGATATCTATCAGGATCATGATTTTACTGCCTGAGAACTCAGCACTTCAGGATGAAACATATAATATTTGTTTTCTCGATTTCATTCATATTTAGACAGAAGTCCGTGTAGATAATTGGTTATAGAATAATTGGATATAATTTTATGCGAAGTTGTGTCTGCGAAAATATACGTGTGAACTGGTCATCCCGCAAATGCTGAAAAAGTAGATGTTACCTATCATAAAATAACCGCTCGCACCGTACAGTGTACACGACAGAGTTGTGACTGCGTTTACAAATTCTTTATCATATTGATGTGTTGCCATGGCAACCGAAACTCCATCGGAAGATCGGCCTGTAAGGCATAATCATGATAATACACAGTATCAAAACATTGCCATTGATATCATAGCAACATTCCAGAGATTAGATTATGTGTGTGTAAGAAAATGTATGTTATAGTATTATACAGTCTGCTAGAACATTCCGTTTACACATGGTGGCCGATAACAACTTGTTTAATTTATCTCCGAATTACACACAAATTTCTGAACGTTTCGTAGACTTAAATCAATTACAGAGGGTGTGGCTATTGGCCAGCCCCTCTATTTCACTATTATGGTTGAAACTATAAGAATACAGATTATATTGTTACAGTGATTTTACAAAAGTCGAAACAGTAAACACCAATTTGTAGGATACTTTAAATCACACCAAAATTGGTCCCAGAATGCAATGAAATCTGATGGCGTCTTTTCAGTGAAAAAGAGGCCACACTCTCTGTAATTGATTAAAGTTTACGAGACCTTTAGAAAATGAGTTATATAACTTGCAACTTAAACTAAGATAAATTGAGTATTTATACTCAATTTATCTTAGTTGCATGAGTAATATATATATACTCTCATTTTTTTAGAGCAAACGTAATTTAAATGGCTAAACACAATTCAATAAAATTTGGCTCGATCCGATTATCCAAACTATCAAATAAATGCGAAAATGAACCTTCTTTTGAAAACAATGAACACAAATATGTTTCGATTTGACAAATTTCTCG